CACGAGTGGCACCCACTGTTTGCACATTCCATATCCATGCATCTTCGGAGGGCGGTGAGGTCGCTTGAGTCTGTTCCTGGGCTGCCGGCGGGTCTCTGGGCTGCTGGGCGCCCGAGGAAAATTCATCGTGTCTCGCGCGCATCGGTGCACGTGAGCCCAGTGCTCCTGCTGCTCCCCAGGCTGAGGTACTGGGCCCCAGAGCTGTCCTCGAGCATCGCGCAGCTCACGCTCATCCGCCTGTAGCTAGTCGCCATCAAGCTTCCGTGCATACATGCACACAACATGATGGAGATCATGTGGAACGGGTGGAATCCGAGTAGGAGGTACCGCGGGAGGGGCGCAAGGGTGCATGTGGAGGGACGGGCCGAGATATTCTGGCCCATTGCGTGGTGTGTTCGATGATCGCACGCATCGTGAGAGCCCTCATCCCCTCTTGAATCCTGTCTGGGGCGGTGGCCCATCGTTCAAGCAGTTTACTATAGGTTGCGTTCCGACTCTCCTGCCAGCAGTGAGCTGTGTTCTGCGGTGGTTGCATTCGATTTGTTGGTCAGCATTCAGCAGAGCATGAAAGACAAAGGCCCCCGTGGGGCCGAAATCGCGAAGGGAATCATGAGAGCACGAGCCCGTGCCATGTCCAGGCCGAATGCAGATGTGAACGGGGCTGCCTCCTACACGGGAGCCAACCTCCAGGGGTAGCGTGGGGCTTCAGAACCTTTCCCGTTGTTCGTTGCCTTTGCTGGTGGCCCGCCTCATCCCCTGCTAGGACTGGCGCTCATCCCCCTCGTCCTCCTCGCCCTCCTCCTCCTCTATTCCTCTTGCGCCCCCGGACTCGTCGGTAGGGCGGCCCCAGCATTTTGCCCAAGACTTCCTCACCATGTCTGATTCTGAAGTTTGAACTTTGCAGTCGTATCAAGAAGCCAGGGCGGCCCGTTTTCAAAAGGTGGTTCTCGCCGCAGTGCCGCGCACATTCTTTTAAACAGCTCGGATTGCAACAGCTTCATGAATGGAGTGCGGCTCCTTTTCAAAATGCGCCCCCCGCCGCATCGCCGCGCAGACGCTTTCGTTCCCAAAACTTGCACAATACTCAAAACATTGCAAGGCTGAAGTCCTACGGAGGGTGCCCTGGCACCATATCCGACTGTGAGATCACAGCGGTCGCGTTGACCCGCGGTGTTGGAGTCCTATGAACGGTGTTACGGCACGGCTTACGATTGTCAGGACGCAATTGTCACGTCCATTCGGGGCGTTGAAGTCCCAGAACGGTGTTGTGGCATGGTGGGACATTCTCAGACGGTTGTCTTTCAATGGGGCATTTTCCTCAATGCAGTTGTTTGAATGCAATCGTTTGTAGGGGTGCTGAAGAGGGAATTCGGAGGGAAGGTGTACTGCAACATCGTTGATACGTTTAGGTGTACATTGGTCATCATATTCTTCGGCCGTTTTTCATAATCCCCTCACATGTATTACCCTCTCACAAGAGAGGTCTTGGCGGTATAGGCGACTGCTCCACAGACCGTACAGCCCCACGGCCTGCCCGCACGCAGCTCGCCTTTGCCACTCCCGTGGCCCACTTTAACATATTCGGCCGGCGTGCCCCAGCGGTAATCTTCCGAGTCAGGTTGTGAACGGGCCATCGGAGTCACGAGGCATTATCAGATTCTTGTTCCTCCTCCTCCTCCTCCTCCTCCTCCTCCTCCTCCTCATGTTCGTCATCCTCCTCCTCCTCGTCCTCTGTTTCCTCTTCCTCCTCCTCCTCCTCTTCCTCCTCCTTCTCATCCTTCTCCTTCTCCTCCTCGTCGTCATCCTCCTCCTCGTCCTCCTCTTCCTCCTCCTCCTCCCCCCTCCTCCTCCTGCCCCTCTCTGTCCTTAGGGGTAGGGGAGGGGCAGGGCGCTTCTTCCCCTCGCCCCCCTCCCCCCCCTTCCACACACACACACACACACACACACACACACACATACACGACCCTGTGCTGTCAGAGGTCGTTTGCGGCCGTCCTCCCTGCGCCCCTCAGAGATCGTGGCACGGCTCCAAAAGAGCCCCAGAAATTCGGGCTGTGGACAAAAAGGATCGAAGGTTTGGGGCAGTGTTCGGCTTGCAGGGGGCCCGCCTCGGGCCCCAGGGCTGACAGAGACGACTCTGGGTGAAGAGCCGGCCCGTGGGAAGGACAGGGTCTCAGAGCCCCGAATCATCAGGGGTAACTCGGGTCAGGGATAACTCGGGTTCGTTGTTCGGGAATCCAAACCCGAGTTACCCCGGACCCGAGTTACCCCGGATAACTCGGGCGTCCAGAGCCCCACATCATCAGGGGTAACTCGGGTCAGGGCTAACTCGGGTTCCTTTTTCGGGAATCCAAACCCGAGTTACCCCGGACCCGAGTTACCCCGGATAACTCGGGCGCCCAAGGGTCAAGGCCTCTGGGAGTCCACGTTACGCGAGAATACACGGCGTGGGAATTCTGGGCAGGGCGCTCCAGAGATGGCCTGACTCTTGAGGGATCTAGAAGTTCGATGTTCTTCTTCCGCAGAATGTGGCGGAAGACTCGCGGAAGGTGGCAGAAGGCTCAGGATGAGGTGTTGGCTCTGGGGCCCAGCGAGCCAGGACACCAGGGGCCTACATCACAAAACAGCAACGGAGGAGAGGGTCCCGCGCTCCCTCGTTCCCTCGTCCTTCCTCCTCCTCCTCCCCTTCCTCCTCCTCCTTCTCCTCCTCCTCCTCGTCCTCCTCTTCCTCCTCATCATCTTTTTACGTTGGACCAACTTCAGTTGCAGGGCTGTAGCGTTCTCCTTCTCCTCCTCCTCCCCCTCCTCCTCCTCCTCCTCCTCCTCATCATCATCATCATCATTAACAGCATGATCATCATGGCAAGCGGCCGACCCAAGTCTTGATGAGTTCCAGGGGATTCCAGGGTGCGGGTGTGTGTGTGTGTGGATGACGCAGGCCTTTCTCAACCCTGACTGCAGGACCTTACGATAATATTTCCTGTGTTTCGGGAGGCCGAAGAGCTGGCGAAACTCAACTGCAGACGGCCAAGACCATCAGTCCCTTTTGGACAGAGCTCTCTGACGCAGCCACAACGCGAACGTTCTTTGGATTTACATCCCTGCCTGGTAAGTGTCAACATCGCGTTTTTTTGCGGCGAAGGACCTTGGGGTCCAATTTGGTCCGGGGGCCTCGGAGGCTTTAGTCTGGAAAGGTGCGGTCGCCAATGATAGTCGAGATCCGTCGATATCCCACGGGATGACGCCCCCACCAGCATGGGTCCTCTCCTCTACAACAGCGTTGCTCTTTCCACCCTCACCATCTCTGACTGGCGTGCTGAGCTCGACCGCCGGCAAGAAACGTCGGCACAGACGCTCCCAGTGGTCGCCTGGACCCGAGGAGAGTGGAGCGCCCCCTGCTCGTTACAGAAGCAGGGCAGTGTGCAGCATGTTGCATCTCTCGCGCAGGCGCCCCCAAGGCGCGGCATCCCAATCCAGACTTTCCGGGCTGCTCGGGCCGCGGGCAGAATGGAGGTGTCAGCAGCAAATGCAGTTGTCAAGAGGCCCAAGCTGCAGATGGTACTCACCACTTTCCTGCGCGCCAACCTTTATCCTAATACATTCGGCACAACTCTCTTCAAGCGCCTCCACGAATGGGAGCTCCTTGCTTCAGTGGTCGGGACAGTGGACGAGCGGTTGGGGGAGTGTCTTACGATCATGCAGAGATTCAAGCCCGCTGGACAGAAGTCAATCCTGAAGACCTTCGCTGGCGGATGGACAGCGAGCCATAGTATGCATGTATGCGGGGAAGTCGACTGCCTTTTTGTCTGCCCGCAGTCTGGCTATCTCTCACTACCTCACCTCTGTCCCGCGCTGCATTTCATCCTTGTCCTCCCCTCCAATCCTCTCACCTTTTCTCGGCATCGGAACCGACAACAATTACAACTGCGAGCTGCCCTTTCTCGTGTGCTAGCGCGCTGCGAATGGCCGTGCTCGCTTTCCACACGCACCATATGGCAAAACTCCGATCTCTCCTCTCCCATTCCTTTTCCTTCTAAATGACTTCTCCCTGTCGCAACCCGAGTCCAGTTTTTAGGGCGGTCCGGGCGTTTCTCCTGAGACTTCCTCACCACCCATGACTCTGAAGCTAAAACATTGGCAACAGTTTCACATATCGAGGGCGAGTCGTTTTCAAAATGTGGATCGCGCTTTAGCGCGGCGCATTCTCGTTGACAACATTTGCAAGAGCCTCACGGATTTAGGGCGGGTGGTTTTCAACATGTGGCTCTCGCCTTAGCGCAACGCACATTCGTTGTAACAAATTGCCAGAGTTTCACTTGAGGGTGGGTGGTTTTCAAGATGTGGCTCTCACTTTAGGGCGGCGCGCATTCTTTTTAAACATCTGCAAAACTTTCACGGATTAGGGTGGTTCCTTTTCCAAATGTGGCTCTCGCGTTAGCGCCGCGCACATTATTTAACAACATTTGCAAGAGCTTCACGGAATCCCACCATCAACTTACCAGAAATTGTGTCTTGAAAGAATTCAGGATTATGCGGGCGGCGTTGATTCGTTGTGTTGGCATCCCGGGAATGGCATTCTGGCACGATTCAGGATCGTCAAGACGCAACAATCAGGTTGAACCGTGGCGTTGGAAACCCGAGAACCATGTTTTGGCATGTTTCGGGGTCTTCAAACGTCTGTCTTCCAACGAGGCACTTCCCTTAATGGAAATGAACTTTTGTATGGGGCCTATGAGGAGGGAGCTTGGAGGGAGGGTTTATTCCAACATCGTTGATGACTCTTGGGTTTATACTGGTCCTCCTCCTCCTCCTCCTCCTCCTCATCATCATCATCATCATCATCATCATCATCATGCTTTTCTTCCTTGTTCTCCTCCTTCTCCTCCTCTTCTCCTCCTCCTCCTCCTCCTCCTTCTCTTCCTCCTTCTTCCTCCTCTTCCTCCTCCTCCTCCTCCCTCCATCACCCATCCTTCTCCAGCGGGGGCGTCTCCGCTACGAAGGCCTTGGAGCCCGCGGTGGGCGTCGACCCAGAGGACCTGCCCGCCGTCAACAACGATGCGGTCGAGGTGCGCACGGAGCTCGGAGATTACAAACTTGATCCTGGCCCAAGGTGCCCCCAGCCCGTCGCGCCAGCTCGGAGCCTCTTGAGGCCTTCAGGGCCTCATGATGGCGCTCTTGAGCCAGAGCCCCGACGTCGCGTTCTCATTCGCAACGTGGACCCTCCGAGGATCGGACCACTCTCTCGGGACCAGCTTCTCATCCTGAGTCATGCTTTGAGACTCCTGGGCCCATGAGAGGGCCCCCGGAGGCTGAAGACCGCCCAAGGCTCCCCGTCTTGTTCTTTCCGCAACGGAGGTCCGGGGGAGCCACCTGGGCGTCCCTGGAAACGTTTGGGCCACCCCGGGCCAGGGCCACCTCCTGGCACCCCCCGAGGAGGGCTCGAGCCTCGACTCGGCGGAGAACGCGACGGCTGATGCCGCCTCTCCGCTGGAGGGGCCTGGGAGCACAAGAAGAGGGCGCTCCAGAAGGCGCCTCGGCCTCGAGGCGCCGAGGAGCCAGACCTGCTCGGCACGGACTCGGTTCGCCAGAGTCTGTTCGTCAGGGCTCGGTTCGCTCGCCGAATCGAGCCCGGACGAATTGAGCCCAGCGGGTCGAGACTCGGGCGGGCGGGTGGCAATGGGGGGTGACCGAAATTGGGGGTGAAGAAAGAGCCCTAAAGGGGCCCTTTAGGGCCCCTTTTGGAACCTCGATGGCTCCACACAAGGGGCACCCCCCCATGAAGGTCACCCCACACTACCACCCGCTCGACTCGGGCGAATCGAGCCTGCGCCACATGCTCGCGTCGTGAGGAGATCAAAGCGGCGGTTTTCTGGCCGTCTTGTCGGTCTCCGGGGGCCCTCGCCAGGCCCGCGGAGGCCGCCAGAGAACGGCTCGGGGTGGAAAGCCAGCCATGTTGGGAGGGTCGGTCGGGACTTCCGAGAACCCTTCATTGAAGAGGCAAGGGGGCGGGTGTCTTGAGACGAAGCCAGGACGAGGACAAATTCGGACGAGGATACATCGAGAATCTCGGAGACCCAGCGGCTCTGGAGGATGTCTCGGGCGCCGCGGCCTTCTCAGAGCGTTCCGGAACGCTCTGAGAGCGTTCGGGAACGCTCTGGAACGGATTGATCCTCGTCCTAACCCCGTTCGTTGTCTGGGAAGCTGGCCTCTTCGGCGGAGGGTGTGTTTGTTTGTTTGTTGGACGGCCGGCGGGAGCCGGCTGAAACACAGCGAGGGCGGTTGGGTTGGCGGAAGCCTGCGGAAGGAAAACCTGCCCCCCCCCTCCTTGCTTGAATGCATGTTTTTATCACCCCAGGGTCCCAGAACGGGCCACATGGGCCCCCAGAGCTCTCGACCTCTCCTTTGGCAGGCTTCCCACCGCGGGTCGCTTTCTGGCGTAGGTGGCCCCCGTGGAGCCCAATCCGCGAAAAGAGGCAGGCCTTCTCCATCCTCCAGAGCCTTCGGATTGCATGGCGACTCCAGCGGAAGTCCAGGATCGGTCCCCAGACTCCTCGGGCCCAGCTGGGCCAATTCTTCGAGCCGCGCCCAGCCGAGGTGACAAGAGCCTCGAGCATCCCCCCTAGCAAAGTGCAGAAACGAAGACGCTGACGCTCCTCCGAGTCGCCGGGTGCCAGGGCATTCCGTCGGAGGGAGCTGCCGCCGCCGCGGGGGACGACCCGACTTTCAGACAGCTTTATCAAAGCGTCGCCACGAACGTGTTTGCCTACAGCTAGCTGCATAGAGTGGGGGCCCACCCCGAAGAAGTTCACATTGAAATATCCAGCTGCCTGTATCAAGTCGCGCCACCGTGCCAGCCCAGCATTTTGGGTGGCGACTGCGAGGAGCACGGGAGGCCGTCACGCGCGATATCTCGTATCTGCAGGCTTGGGAGAAATATGTTGTTGATGATGAGGATGATGAGGATGATGACGAATAAGACTGAGGCGGGTTCGGGGAGGGTACCATGATGTTCTTCTTCTCATTCGTGCACCATCCTTGAGCGGGCATGAGAGAAGTGGCCTCGGAACGGAGGGGCGATGCATGCAACAGTCCGCTGGTAGAGGGGGGGGCGGCCCCTTGTTAAATTACGGATATGGCACGGTGGCGGACCACTCCGCCTGGTGTCCGTGCCACCTGAGCGACGGAAGAAAACGGGGTCGAGCAGCGCGGGCATTCGCACCACGCTGGCGGCCCGCGTGAGTCACGGCGCAAGGTCGTTCTGTCATCGCGCATCAGACCCGCTCCTTTTCGTCGCTCACCCGGCGCCGATCCCGGAGGACGACACCTCGGAGGCGCCGCTGCCGGTGCTCGACGGGGACGGGCGCCGGGCGACTGCCGCCGCTGCCGCGCAGGCGGTGCCCGCCGCCGCGCCGATGGCGGCGGCCGGCGCGGCGGAGGGAGGCGGCGAGCCTGCGCAGGTCGCCGCCGAGTTGCCGGCGGAGGCGGCGGCGCCGCCCGCGCCCGCGGCGGCGGCCGGCGCGGCGGAGGGAGGCGGCGAGCTTGCGGGGAAGGCCGAGCGGCGGAGGCGCCGGCGCCAGCGCATGGCAGCGGCGCGGCGGAGGGCCGAGGGCCGCGCGAAGGAGTGAGCAGTCCTCCTTCTCCTTCCCCGCCGTCTCTTCCTGCTCCCTCCTTCTCCTTCTGTCTCTTCCCTCCCCCTCCTCGGCCTGCTTCCCCTCTCCCTCCTCCTGCTTCCGCTTCGTCTTTCCCTCCGCCGCCGCCGCCGCGGCGGCCTCCTCCTCCTCCCTCCTCCTCCTCCTCCTCCTCCTCCTCCTCCTCCTCTTTCTCTTTCTCTTTCTCTTTCTCTTTCTCTTTCTCCTCCTCCTCCTCCTCGCCGCCGACCGGCGGCGGAGGGTCGGCGGCGTCTCGCAGCAGTCAGGGGCAACGATGGACAGGCACCAAGAGGGAGGTGCAGCGAGCCCCAGTCGCCGACGGATCGCCGAGAGGGGCCCAGAGGGCCCCATAGCCTGCCCAGGAGCGGGCCGTTTCCCCCTCGGGAGCCTGTCGCCGATTTGTAGGCGATGTGTCGCCGGTTCCAGGTCGACGCATCGCCGATTCCAGGTCGATGTGTTCCCTCCTCCTCCTCCTCCTCCTCCTCCTCCTCCTCCTCCTCCTCCTCCTCCTCCTCCTCCTCCTCCTCCTCCTCCTCCTCCTCCTCCCCCCCTCCCCACATCGCGCTCGAGAGAGCGGAGCCCTCCACGGCCACCCGGGCGCCCGCGGCCCAGCAGCCGCCGCAGCCGCCGTCGCCGCCACTGTCAAGTCGTCGCCGCCGCCGCCGCCGCCGCCGTCGTCGTCGTCGTCGTCGTCGTCGTCGTCGTCGTCGTCGTCGCCGTCGTCGTCGTTGTCGTCGTCGTCGTCGTCGTCGTCCGAGTCGTCGTCCGAGTCGTCGTCCGAGTCGTCGTCCGAGTCGACTCCGGGGCGGAGGTTTATCAAACACCACCGCCTGGGGAATCGATGTTCGGAGACCTCGTCAGGCGGCGGATCTAGAAATATCAGAGCCTTGAGGGAGCCAAACGTCCAGATCCACCGCCTGCCGAGGTCCCCGAAGATCGAGCCCCCAGGAGGTGGTGATGGATAAATCCCTGGCTCGCATCGGCGTCGAAGTCGACGTCCTTGGTGGCGGTGGATATGTTCCTTCTCCCGATCCGATCCAGATCTAGCGCCTGCTTTCTGACGCCTGCCGGCTGCCCTGCATGGGGCAGTCAGTTTAGCCCGCAGTTGCGAACTCTGCAGATTGGTTTCGCAGTGACTCGCCAAGAGCCGAAGGTGTCCTGAGCGGAAGGGGTGCAGAGGTCTCTCGCCGTTTTCGGCTTCTCGGGTCCTTTCAGGGCCCCCCAGGCTAACAAACCAGTCCTTGGGGGAGTCCTTTCCCGCAGACCTTTCCCGCAGAACCCCTTCAGTGCATGGAAAAATGCCGCTTCAAGGCCCCAGATGTCTGACTTGTGTTACCAGGTGTCTGACTTTTGCCAGCATTTGTATAGTAGAATTCGGTCTGGTTCCGAGCGTCTCTTCGGCCAGCCTGAGTTACCTTCGTCCAGATGCCTCCGGCACGCCCAGCCACCATGCTAACGCGGCATGGCGCGTAACGCGACACCCTGTGTGTAAAACCTTGGAGGAGCGCACAAGAGGCTTCACGTTGTGACAACTCTCCTCCCTACAGGACCCGCAACGTGACAATCCCAGGGCTCACAGGGCAACAACAGTTGACACATCTCTTCCCCAGGCCGTTCAGGGCGTTACAAGGAGCAGCTCGCCTCCCCTGTCCATAGGAGAGCGAACATATGACAATTGAATTGCCCCGTGAGCCTGAATATTTCTATGTTCGAATATGTGTTCGACGCGGAAGCCACCCATGTGATGGATATTGTAGCGTGTTTTTTTTCTGTGCGTGTGCGTATAAGCGGGTCTGAACGTGGGTGAGTCTGAGTACGACTTGTTTAGTAGTATTGTGTCTGCGTATGAGCGCCGGATACAAGTGAGTCATGGTGCGAGTCAGCCTGAGACTGTGGGGCTGTGTATTTAAGCGACGGTGGTTTGGTTAGGCTTGACTGTGAATGCATCGGAGAATGATTGAGTATGGACATTGTTAAAGGGATCCTGCCATTTGGGCGCCTTGGAGGTCCCCACAATCTGGGCGCGAACGGGCCATGGAGACCTGAGCGCCATGCCTGCGACATCGAGGTGATCACGGGGCTCGAAGAAGAGATTCGTAGCACAGGGCCAGAGCATGCGTTTCGCTTGAGAGGTCCCCGCTATGCAGGCGCGAGCGGGCCCGTGAAACACCCCTCGTCGACACCCCGTAGGATGGCTTGCTTGACGTGCTTGACGCATTGCGGTGATCACGGGGCTCTGAGAAGAGACTTCAAGCTGGGCCACAACAGGCGTTTCGCCTGAGAGGTCCCAACATCTGCGCGCGAACGGGCCAGTGAAGCATACTTGAACGACACCCCCTTTGGTGACACAAGCGTCGTGCCCGCTGCATCGCAGGGGTCATGGGGCTCTGGAAAGAGAACCCGTTTTCTGGGCCACAACAAGCGTTTCGCCAGGGAGGTCCCCACAATCTGAATGCGAACGGGCCTGTGAGACAGCCCTGGTCAACACCCCCATGGATGGCTCAAGTGCCGTGCCTGCTGTATCGCTGTGACCATGGGGCTCCGAAAAGAGACACATACGACTAGTGGGCCGCAACAGAGTCTCGCGTGAGAAGTCAGTGTAATTTGGGCGCGAAAGGGTCCCTGGAACACCCCTGGTTGGCACCGGCCTGTGTGGCCCAAATGCCATGCCTGTTACATCACAGTGACTGTCCTGAAAAGGGATCCGCCTATTGATGCAAAACCATCTTTTCGCCGAGGGGGTCCCCACAGTCTGGGCGCGAGCGGGCCAGTGAAGCACACATTGTCAAGATATCCTTGGGTGGCCCAAGAGTCATGCCTGCTCAATCGCAGGGATCATGGGGCTCTGAGGAAGATATCGTGTACTGAGCCAAAACGGTTGTGTAGCCTGAGAGGTCCCGACAATCTGGGCGTGAACGGGCCCGTGAAACCCTTGGTCGACACCCGCGTGGGTGGCCCAAATGCCATGACTACTTCATTGCGGTGGTCGTAGAAGTCCGAGTACTTCTTGATCTGAGCATGCGGACTCTGAACCTGATCGAGTCTGAGTGTGACTGAGGCTGAGTGCGAGTGGATCTGAGTACGCGAGAGTCTGAGTGTGAGTCAGACTGAACATGACCGAGTTTGAGTATGAGTGCTCTGAGATTCATCGAGTCCATGTGCAAATGGGTCGGAATGTGAGTGAGTCTGAGTGGTGTGAGCGAGTCTGGGTATGAGCAAGTTTGAGCGGGAGGGAGGAGGCGGGCGGGTGAGGGGACGGAGGCGTGACACTAAAGAGTGAGAGGCGGAGGAGTGACTTCGGATAGGGGGGGCATGCTCACCTAGATTTCGGCATGGGCCGCTCTTCCTCAGGCTCGTCATCGCCATTGGCATTCAAGTGGGAGCACGTTTCACCAGCGATGAGCAATCACATGTCATAGCCTGCTAGGTCAGAAGTCCGACCCGCACAGCATGGCAAGACTCAAGTTGACCGTGACAGCTCCGAGGGGCCATCTTCCCAATCGACAGGAAACGTAAATAGCTCAGCGTGAACTGAGGGGAGAAAAAGAAAAAAAAAAAAAAAAAAAAAAGTCGACCGTGACAGCTCTTCGCCCCCCCCCCCCCCCAGGGCTCCAGCTGGGCGTCTCGGGGGCCCTCCAGCGCCCACGGGGTGTCTTTGGACCGTCTCGGGGAGGCCGCGGGGAGACCTCGGGCCGCCCCCCCTGTGGCCCCGAGGCCGTCTGGAAGCGACCAGCGGGCAGTCTTTACAGGCCCTGTTCCTGTTGCAGGCCAGCCACAACAGGGGGAGCTGTGGTCCTTACTCCCCTGGGGGATCCATCGATTTCGACACCTCTCTCGAGAGATCGTCGATGCGATGGGTCCCCCCAGGGGGGTAAGGACCACAGCTCCCCCAGTTATGGCTGGTCGGTGTTGTGGGGCTGCCTTTGGGGGGCACCCAGGGAGGAACCGCGATTTTTTGACGGGGACCCTGCGCTTCGGGCTTCGGGGCTCGCTCGTTCAGAACAGGCGCGGTTCGCCCCCAGGCGGTTGCGGCCACGGAGTGCGAAGCGTGAGGCGCTGCTTGACATACGCACTGTTCATGTCCAATTCTTCGAAAGTGCTTTGATTTTTTGGGGGGGCCAAGATCCTTTCATTTCTGATTGTTCTATCCTGGGCCTCTTCCTGGCCACCCGGGGGCCAGGAACAATTAGAAGCGAACACAAGTAGGAATGAGCACGGTGAGAAATGAACGACGTGTAGTCATACAAATGCAAGCGAGGAAAGAAGCGGACAACTCGCTGCATGTGAGACTGGTGAAGTCCCGTTGCATGCGAGGGTTTGGATCCGTCCTGTGAATACGTTGTTCCCTCGGGGGGGGGGGGGAGGGGCAGTCTCGGGCTAGTAGCGCGCCGTCCCCAGACCTCCTCTCACAGTGAAAAAAAAACACGACGAAGTGTTTGGGACAATTTTCCGCCTCTGGGAGCCCTTAGGGGGCCCTGGGGCCGTCGGAAAACGACTCGGGATGCAAGCCGGTCCTGGGAAAGGGGCCCGGACCTCTGGGGGCCCACCTTGCGAAAAGGCAGGACATCGTTGTTGAGGGTCTTTTGGCAGCCTCAGGGCTATTGAGGGCTTCTGGTTGCTGGCAACTTGTCAGGGATCGTCGTGAGCTCTTTGGGCCTGGCTACATTTTCTCGTTGGGAAAAACGATGGGCTGAACAGATGTTCATACACACGACTTTGCCTCCATGTGTAACCTTTCGGGGTGTCCTCGCTGCTTCTCCGGACCACTTGGGCGCTACATTCGGGGCCTTACTTGGGGCCGTTGGGTCCCTCAGGGGCTGCCTTGGGCCGTCTCGGGGCGGGCCTTCTCGCGAGCGACCCCGGCCCTGCGAGGGGCCGCCTTGGGCGTCATTGGGGCGTCCTGGCCTGTCCTGGGGCCCCCAACGACGTCTTGAGGCAGCCAACGGAGGGAGATGATGCACGCTGGGGGGGGGGGGGGAACCACCAGGAAAGGGGGGGAGCGCACAGAGGCGGTATGATGACCACTGCGTGCCAGGGGTCGCGGCGGCGGACCGCCCGTTCGTCTCTCATGATGAGCTCCCCCGACCTGCTGCGGTGCCTCGCCGCTCTGGAGAAAAGTCGTTCGCCCTGCTGCTGCGCCTCCTCCACTCCCCCCCTGTCCCGTCACCTCCCCCCCGCCTCGCCTCCCGTCTCCCTTTGCTCCCTCCCTGCCGCCCTCTCTCCTCCCTCCTCCTCCGCGGCCGAAGCCGTTGAGGCGGTGCGCGTGCGGAGGGACGCTGCTCTCCGCCACCCTCAAAGTCTGCTATAGGCCTCCCTGATGGGGTCGGAGCAGATGGGGTCGGATGATCGCGCCGCATCGCCGATGCATCGGCGATGCGGCTCGATGCGGAGCCCGACTTGCTCCACGTCGACGTCGCCGATGCATCGCCGACGTCGACGATGTATCGCCGTTGCATCGCCGTTGCATCGACGATGCATCGACGATGCATCGCCGATGCATTGGCGATGCAGCGCGATCCTCCGACCCCATCGACTCCGACCCCATCTAGGAGGCATCTATCTGCTGTGGCCTCGGGAGCACATGTCACGATTCCTCCGGTGCCGTCTGGGAGTTAGCCTCCCAAAACCATTTCCAGACGGCGCCAGCGCGAATAGCGCTGTGACCACGGACGGTGGGTTTGGGGGAGCCAGTAACAGGCGTTGTCGCGAATAGTCTGACGAGCTCCCGGTGTTTCGCCACTTCGGATTTTTGGAGGCTGGTTTCGGGCCCTGGGGCCGTCAGAAAGCAACTCGGGGTAAAAAGCCTAGGGCGGGGGATTCTGGAGTGGCGGTCTGGGGGCATCGTCCCCCGCAGCCTTTCCCGTTTCCTTGCCCTCCTCCACCTCTTCCTCCCCCCGTTTTTCTCATGGCCCGCGTCGTGGTTTGGGTCGTCATCGTCGTCGTCGTCTTTGTCGTCGTCCTCGTCTCCACGCACGCCACCAAGCCCTTCAGAAAGAGAAGTGGGAAGAGGAGGAACAGGAACAGGATGAGCAGGAGGAGGAGCAACGGAAGGAGAGACGCCAGCAGAGGAGTAGAAGATGAGTCCAAGTCGCCCGAGCCCACGCTACATCAGACAAAACTACGGGGTCTCCCCGACTAAAAACAGTCAGGACCTGGGACCCTCGTCCACTACCGAGGCGGCTCCCCACGCCACGACCGTTTGAGGCGGATCGTCTGCGCGCTGATGGTCCTGGGGATCTCCGAGGGGCCTCGACTAAGCTGTTTAAGAGCCAACGCCCGACCCGTCTCCCCGACGTGACACGCACAACGCACAGAGAAGGCGAACGCACCGACCTCGGCCATCTGATGGCCGAGACGGTGGAAGAGGTCCTACGAGTCGGGGCACCGCTCCGCAGAGCCCACCTCCGAC